CATTTAGACATCACGTCTCAAAATATAATGATGGCATGCAACATTCGGGCTTTATGCGGCTATACTATCATTTGTCTTTGCCATATGTCTGCCACGTCCTTTCAAACTAGCCAATCCATGGCCAATAAATATACTTCTATCATTGAGTTAACGTCAAGTAATTCATGAAATCATAATTCAAAGTTTTAAGTTTTAAGGATTTAATTGAAACTTTTAAAATTTTGGAGACTAAATAAATATCATCATCAAAGAGAAGATTCTGGATTTGTGTGCCTGCTGTTTGAAGCCTGATATACTGACTGCTTATAGTTCAAACTTTGTTTTAACAGTTGTGTAATTCTGAATGTTATTTTGATGGTGAAATTACAGCAACAACTCTCAGCCAAGCCGGAGAGGTTGACGCCACGGTGAAATTTGCAGTAGAGGACCGAGTCTTCCACCGAGCAACTTGGGGGTGGAACTGTGAGAGCAGTCAGCTGCAATATTAACTCTGGGAAAATGCATAAGCTTTCATATTGCATTTTCAGGTAAATATCTTATGGTTTAGCTTAAAATTTTCATGGAAATGGAGTAGGCAGTAGCATGACATCTGTTGTTCCTTACTGGAATAGGCATTCTTTAGTGCTTGCTGTCTAAATTTATTGAAACTAGTGTTCCTAACAGCAGAGACAACGGGGTTCTCTTGCCCTGCAGTGGGTTTAGATGGGATGGCTGTTTGTATTGGTCACCTTTGTCTTATCACACTAAAAATTAAAAATTTTAAAAGGAGAAAGAAAAAATATCGTTTATTTGTGTTGTATGAGTGATTGTTTTCATATGTGTGTGTGTGTGTATATATATATATAGATGGAGATATATTCTTTGATTTGAGTTGCTTTGAAGATTGTTTTAAAAATAGTTTTCTATTATTTGAACTAAAAGTTTGGTCACAATATGTTCTTTATCGATCTTTTAGTTCATTTCTTAAATAAATGTTCTAATTGTTCTTAGAACAATTTAAATTCTTGTTGTTTTTTTTAAAGATTATGGTTTGTAAATAAGGATTTTAAAGGGTTGAATTTTGAAGTGATGCTAGATAGTGGTAAGAGTGCATATATTTTTTTATAATATGCTTTTATGATCATTATTACTTTTGGAGGATACATTTGGTTCCTATGATTTTAGAATGGACAGTTTTAGTTCTTGAATTTTAGAAACCGTTGCTGTGCCAAGTTGGTCGTTAGTTCACTAATGGAAAAGTAATTTGTCATTCTCGACATAGCGATACTTATTGGTTTTATATTACTATTATCTTAGGTAGCACGTTTTTCTTTTCCTCCTTTCCTTCCCCTTCCTTGCCACATCGATCTCGATAAAATCTGCCCTCTGCCTGGATCGCAACATGCCCGAACATTATGCCTATATTAGGTCTCCCGATTTGCTTCGTTGTTACCGAATGCCTTGATAGGTCAAGAGTGAAGCACTGAAAGCCATCTCCAATCATGGAGGTTTGAAAAATAAAAAGAATGACCATCTACTTCTCACCTTCAGCACACTGGCCAGTTCCTATGACCCAAAGAATCGCCCTATCCTCCAATCTACAGACCTCTGAGTATTCAAGTTACTCATCTTCCTCCTCTCTTCTCTGGTGCGACATATATCGTCGAAGTTACTGTAAGCATGGTGCTGGAAGGTCCGTGGCATCATATGAAGGCAGAATTTTTGTCGGGATCGAAGTAATAAAGATCGTGCAAGAGGATCGATTTGGAGAGGCTGCTGCAGGAAAGGGAAGCATGTTTGGAAGAAAGATGGAAGACGTAAATGATCTATTATTTTCAAGATGCTCAACTAAAGATCAACGTAGTCCACGAACAAATTAAAACTTGAAGGTCTAAATAAACACGAACACGAACGACCAAATGATATTATGTCCTTTTATTTTTCCAATTTATTATTGAAAAAGAATTGAGGCTATTTTTTTGTTTTTTTTTAACGAGTACAACATATGTTAATTATTGCCTAGTTACGCTCGATTTAGTATGTAGATGAGAATTTGAAGCTTTAATTTTTAGTTAAATTATGTTCCGATTGTTAATCTAATATTATCAAGGAGATTTATTATGAAATCAAAAGACGTGGCTGAGATTTGTTGGACACTGAAAGATCTCGTCACATTTGAATACTTCAAGCTAAGTTTATATACTATATTATATGTCACTTCTTAAAATTTTTTTTTTAAATTAACTTTTATAAAATATTAGAAAGTAATAATATTTTATTTTAAAAAATATTTTTTAACAAAGTGTTTCATAATCTTCGCTTTCAATTTTTTTTTTAATATTCTTTAAAAAAAAAAAATTATAAGCTTTAAAAATACTTTTAATTTCTTTCCTATTATTATTATTTTTTTAAAATTTTCTAAGTACTCTTATAGTTTATAAGTTTAAAAAATATTCATATATTTTTAAAAGTAACGTTAATATTCTTAAACTTTTCTTCAAGTTATAAAAAATTATTATTGTTAGTATCTAATATAAACCTTTTTTTTTTAAAGTTTAAGATAATAATGTTTTTTTTTTTAATATTTGGATATTAATGCTACTTTTGAATATTTTTGAAAGGTAATATTAATGATTGTGTCCGTGTATCAAGGTATTTTTAGACTTTTCAAAAAAAATAATGAAGGCCTTTTTTTTTTTTAAAGCTTAAAACAAAGTTTAAGTGATAAAAATTTGAAAATGGAAGGAAAATTTAAAAATAATTCTAAAGTTTTAAGCATATTTTTTAAACAAAATTAACAACATTTCGACAATGGATAATGTTTTGAAATCTTTGACTTTTAAGTATGAATTCAATGTAAATAAAAAAAGGATTTTTTTCCTTTTTTATTTATTTAATGAATGAGTTTTTTTTTTTTTTTTTTAATGAATAATTGAGAATAAAATCGAAAATTATTTACACAATAAATGAATAAAACAATATACTTAAAATTGTGTTTTTGTTAAGAAGCTAATATCAGGCTATGATCGAATGGAATCAAAGAGCATAAAACAAACCTAAATCGACTAAGACAAAGATACGTTGTTCTCGGTTGTAATATTTTTGTTTATGAGATAAGAAATATGATAAATACATCCGAATTGTTTACCCGAGCCAATCATCTTCCCCGTAGCAAAGTCCTGCATAACACAAGAATCATGATAGAAGGTGACACAACATTTCAAGTTCTTGGTAAGTTTGGTGATAAACATCAAATTTAAATTGAACGAAGACACACATAAAACATTATTTTGTTTAATTTAAGGTTAGGATTAAAGGAAACATTGCCAGTGTATGACACACGTGTTGTCTCTTCATTAGACAAATTTATTGTAGAAATGATTGCATCCTATGATTCAGTCATAATAGAAACTTTGGATATTATATGATCCGTAGCTCCACTATCGAGAATCCATGAATTAGAACTAGCAGAGTTAATGAATAATGCAGATACTAGAAACAAACTTGCAGCATTGATGAAACTGACAGAATTACCAAAAGGACGACAATTGAGTATGGATAAAACTTGTGCTATTTGTTGTAATTGCTTAAAAGAGGAAATTGAAATGTAATTAGGTGACTGTTGTTTTGTATTCCGTTGAGAAATATCAGTCATATTTGTAGATGATTAATATCCACGATTGCTGCGTTGATTGACTTGTACTGTTCTTCCAGAATTATTTTTTCTGTCGACATCGATCTAATGTATGATTCGACACTCCAATTGTATGACCACTTCTATTGCAGTGTTCACATGGTTTGTCCTTGGTGAATTTTGAACATATTGTCTTCTTCTACACTGCTGCTGCAATTAAGATATTCTCAGTAGGTTCAGAAGTTACCTGACGCTGCTGCATCTCTTCTTATACAAGTAATGAATAGCCTTGTCTCGCATTAGGTAATGGAGTCATCATCAATATGTTAGATCTCACCGTTTTATAACTCATTGAGCCCCATGAGTAGTTTCATCAACTTGTCTTCTTCGCGTTGATCAACATGTATTTGACGTTGATTACATGTGAATGGTGTGCGGTACGTTTCCAATTCATCCCAGAGTGCTTTGAGTTTGGTGAAATATGCTGACAGTGTCATGGTTCCCTATGACATCATTACTATCAATTTTTGTATCTGAAAAATTGCTAAAGCGTTCTTTGTGAGAATTGATCGTGAAGATCAACCCACACTTGATGAGCTGTCTTGGCGTGAATAATAACCTCAGCGATATCTGCTTCAACTGAATGAATTAACCAAGATAGTATCATTCTGTTGCAATGATTCTAGAGTTCAAATTCGATTGAATTTGCATCTTGAGACAATTCTTCAATTGTGCCATCAATGAAGCAAATTTTCTTTTTGGGAATAAGAGCGTCAATAACTAATTTACTCAAGGATGGATAATTTGTTCCATTTTAATTTGATTGGAACAAGGGAATATTCTTGCCGATCAGAATGACGAATATAATAAGCATGTGTTAAATCAACCTCAAAAATTTTGAAGATGAATTTGACTAATTCCGCCATAAAGGAAATTTTGATATTTAAGAACCCGAAGAATTGGTGCTCTAATATGATGTTAAGAATGAGAAATAGAATTGGGATCAAAAGTGCAATCTTCATTGATATTCACAACATTTAAATAGGATACAAGTTACCGACTAATATCTAAAAACAACGCATATAGAAACTAACTAAAATAAAATAAAATATACTATTAATCAAATAAAAATAAAAAATTTATTACGAATATCTAAGATATTCTTTCCACTAGGATATAATTTCTAAATATAACATCAAAATTAGATTAAAAAAAATAATAATTATTTAACAACATTTTTTTCACTTAAAAATATTTTAAAAATCATTAAAAACTGGGTTGAATTTCCCCAATCATAATTTGTAATATAAAATTAAAAAAAAAAAATTCCTTTAGGTAAAATAAAGATTGCAATATATATAAATAAGAATAAAAGGTTGAAGTGTTTGTTGCTGCTCCTGTTCTCTCCTCTTCTCATTGTGGCTGCCTTCTCCTTGAAGAGAAGCAAAGCTTCTGTGAAAATTCTCTGCTATTGTATTTCATTCCTATTTACATTGCAGAGAAAGAGGGATTTTCCTTTTCTTATCTTTATATTTTGTGATTAAAAGATGGATTAAGAGATTATGGGCGCAGAGAAAGAGGCAGAATCAAGCGGTGAGTGGATTCTTGAGCTTCATTTTCAATACCCATTTGAATTTTTTATATGGGTTTTGTTTACCAATCGCCATGGATGATGATGATGATGATGATGATGATTAATTCCTTTTGTTCTTCGAACCTAAACGACAAAACCCTCTTTCCCGCGATTCTATTAGGAATTGGAATTGAGCTTTTTCCCATTACTTTTCATTAACTACAAGAAAGTGTTCTTCAATCTGTTCTCACACTTAAGTGGCGTCATTTTCACTTTAACGCATTCGATTACATGTTCTTCTGTGGATGCTTCTGCTTTGTGTTTCATATGAGATTTTGGAACTTTAAACTGTTTGGAATCATGTGTTTCTTTTTGTTCCCTGTTTTAGATCTCTTTTTTCTTTTCGGAAATTGATGTTTTCATGGAATCTGGATTTTCATCGCTTTAGTGGTTGATCGTTTTCGTCCGCTTCCCAGGTCTGATCGAATTGTTCGAATCGAGGCCGTGACAGTTTCTGATTTTATCATTCATTCCAAATATTCTTATTCGTGGTGGATTTAACTATAGTTCTTAATTTAATTAATCGTTTCGTCTCTGTGTTTGGCTGTTGATGAACTCTGAAATTCTGGAACTACAGATCTTTAATCCATGCCCATCATTTACTATAGGTTGTGGAGATTCATGTTCCATCTGAACCTGGATTTTGTTATCTATCTTATCTTGAAATTTCTGTAAAATTTTGGCTAATAGTTTTGCATTATCATGTGATCTTTGCCCCATTTGTTGGTAACGAACAACTAAAGGGTTATCCATTTTGAACTTTACTTGATTCCTTTGCCTACTTTTTTACTTTTTAAAGTTCTTCTTTGAAGCTAATATCAAGCAATCTCTGTGATAAACATGAATCTTAAGCTCTATGACAATTTAAAATGATTGAATGATTCTGTATCTGATTTTGAGCAAAATGTGTTCTAAGCCCATTTAGAGCCCTTATATTTGATATTACCATTCAAGGCTTCTTGATCTGGAATTCGAGTGCAACCGGCTCGTGCTTTTGTTTCTCTCACTATTTATCATATATTATTTTCATTGACGAAATATCGTAAAATCGAAACGTATTTGCTTGAGTTCATATGGCATTTATTGGATGATTTGTTTCTTCTTTCCTTCTGGTAAGGTTGGTTGTAATCCAGTATGTTCGGTGTGATGCAATCAGTTGACGAGGACAGTAAGCAACAGAGTTTGAAGCGTTCAAGGCCTCTTTCGTACAACATGACCGTCACGAACTCGAGTGTTGCTCAGAGTTTGGATGATTCTTTCCTTTTCCCAGTTGAAGAGATTGTACAATATCCATTGCCGGGATATGTTGCGCCCACTTCAATAACGTTCAGTCCAGACGATAGTTTCGTTACTTACTTGTTTAGTCCTGATTGTACCTTAAATAAGAAGGTTTTTGCTTTCGATATCACAACTGGCAAACAGGAGTTGATTTTCTGTCCTCCTGATGGTGGGCTGGACGAGTGTAATATTTCACCGGAAGAGAAACTGAGGAGAGAAAGATTAAGGGAACGCGGTTTGGGAGTGACTCGATATGAATGGGTGAAATCAAGCACCAAAAGGAAAGCGATTATGGTGCCTCTGCCTGCTGGGGTTAGCTCTTTTATCTCTTTGACGTTATTGTACTATTAATCGTTTTGTCGAAATATTATTCAAAATTAAGAATCTTGATCTGATTCAATATAGTTGTACTTGACATTCTCCTTCTATGCAGATTTATATTCAGGACTTTCTTGGCTCAACGCCCGAGCTTAAGCTTTCCAGTAAACCCTCTTCGCCGATCATGGATCCACATCTCTCACCAGACGGGACCATGCTTGCGTTTGTTAACGATGGGGATCTTCATGTCATGAATCTATCATACAACGAAATGAGACAGTTGACTGTTGGTGCTAACCGAAACATTTTGGTAAATCTACAGCCATTCCTGATGATCTCTCTAGTTTTCTATTGATTGAAGCTAAAACATTCTCGATTTTTTAGTTTTCTTTTACCATTGTTTGTGTCGTTCTTGGTCAGAACAGCGTGTATGATGTCTTTTTCTGTCGACTAGATCACTGTTACCGTTTAATGTTTTCACTCTTCGTTTTTCCCTAGAATTTGACATTTACTTTTTTTTTCCGAACTGCAGCATGGAATTGCGGAGTATATAGCTGAGGTGAGGATACCAGCATCTGTTTTTCGAACGGAATCTTGAAATTATTCTTTCTTGGGAAGCTGAAGGAAGTCGAATTTTCACTATTGAAACGATCTTCAATGACGCCTCATTTCGTTTTCTTTGAAACCGTAGTTGGACATTTTCACATTTTTCTTAAAACTTTTCCATTTTCAGGAGGAAATGGATCGAAAAAACGGGTACTGGTGGTCACCAGACAGCAAATATATTGCATTTACACAAGTTGATACTTCAAAGATCCCTGCATTTAGAATCATGCATCAAGGTAAGAGTTCGGTTGGTTCGGATGCACAAGAAGACCATGCTTATTCATTCGCTGGAACTTCCAATGCCATTGTTCGTCTCGGTGTCGTCTCTGTTGCTGGAGGCTCAATTACTTGGATGGATCTTCTTTGTGGAGAAACAGCTGAAGAGGAATATCTGGCTCGAGTCTGTTGGATGCACGAGAATATTCTCATCGCTCAGGTTCTGAATAGGTTACATACGAAGCTGAAAATTCTCAGGTTCGATATCAAGACGGGAGAGAGAAAAGTTTTGCTAGTAGAAGAACAAGATTCATGGGTTAACTTACATGATTGTTTCACCCCACTAGACAAAAGTATCAGCAAATATTCTGGGGGATTCATATGGTCAAGCGAAAAAACTGGATTTAGACATCTTTATCTACACGATGGCCATGGGACGTGCTTGGGACCGATCACTGAAGGTGACTGGATGGTCGAACAAATTGCCGGTGTAAACGAGGCAACCGGGCTAGTTTATTTTACTGGAACTCTCGATGGTCCTCTCCAATCTCATCTGTACTGTACCAAACTAACTACTGCAGGGAATGCCCCCTTGGAGCCACCAATAAGACTGACTCATGGCAAGGGGAAACATGTCGTTGTACTCGATCATCGGATGAGAAGTTTTATCGACATTCACGATTCCCTCGATTCTCCCCCGAGGGTGTTGCTCTGTTCCTTGAAAGATGGAAGTGCCATTTTGCCAGTTTATGAGCAAACACTTGCAATTCCAAGGATTGAAAGGCTTCATCTAGAGCCTCCAGAGATCGTTGAGATACAGGCCGGTGACGGGACATTGCTCTATGGGGCTTTATACAAGCCTAGCGAAACGATATTTGGACCGCCGCCCTACAAAACTATGATCATTGTGTATGGTGGTCCAAGTGTGCAGCTAGTTTTCGATTCGTGGATCAATACGGTCGACATGAGAGCTCAGTACCTACGTAGCAGAGGAATCTTAGTGTGGAAGGTTTGTACTTAATTCATCCCTTTTCCTTTGCCAACTTTCGTTTCATACCGACATTGTAAATCACCTGATCTTCAACGGCCCGAGCATGTTCACACCGGAATCTGTGTTACTTGTGCAAACGAATCCTGTTTTGGATTACTTTCGAATTGTGTCTTCGTTCTTGGCTCGAGTTAATTTGTCCATGTCTGTGTTGGATCATTCGTTTTCATTCTGATGTCATTTTGAATGGTTTCCTGGTTGCAGTTAGACAACAGAGGAACGAGTCGACGCGGACTCAAGTTCGAAGCTTCTCTGAAATACAATATCGGCCATATCGATGCAGACGATCAAGTGATTGGAGCAAAATGGCTGCTCAGACAGGGTCTATCAAGAGCTGGAGAGATTGGTTTATATGGATGGAGCTATGGTGGCTTTCTCTCAGTAATGAGCTTGGCTCGGTTTCCAGATATCTTTCGATGTGCGATATCCGGTGCCCCTGTTACATCATGGGACGGGTACGACACATTTTACACAGAAAAGTACATGGGATTACCATCTCGGGACCCAGAAGTTTACGAGAAAAGCTCGGTGATGCATCATATAGACAAGATGACAGGGAAGCTGCTGCTTGTGCATGGGATGATTGATGAGAATGTACACTTCAGGCATACAGCAAGGCTTGTGAATGCACTCATATCGGCTGGAAAGACGTATGAGCTGCTGATATTCCCGGATGAACGACATATGCCCCGACAGCATCGAGATCGGATCTACATGGAAGAAAGAATCTGGGAATTCATTCAGAGGAACTTGTGAGGCAATCTTGTTCTTGTTCATAATCTCTTTGTTATTTATTGGTGCTTTCAAAATAAATGATGTCAAATATTTTATGATAGTTTAGTTTCTTTCTTAGATTTGTACGGATTGTGATGTGATTCCCCAATTCCAAACCTCTAATTTTTGAACAATTTTGAACAATTTTGAACAATTTTCAATTTGGTCCTTAGTCTTTTAAATATTTTGATTTCCTTCGTTTAAGGTTAAGATTGCAATATTATGGATATGAAATTTAATTTTAAAATTAATGCCACCCTAAAATTAATTAAAATACCCCTTCTAACAAGTGTTTCGGTAACGACACTATTTTTCGTCTATGCTACATGCATGATTTGACTAAGAAACATAACCTCATGATCTAAAACTCCGTGCCAACAAAGGAGAAGTCACATTGTGGGGGAACACAATCGATGATTCCAAGCACACAAACGGTAAGCCTGACCATAGAGGAGCTAGAAAGATTAAGCAAAAAAATCAAGGGAGTCGTGCGCTATACTATCCTCTATACGTGACCTTCAAATCTTCAGCCTGACGCTCTCTCAACTGAGCTATCCCCGCTTTATATTTAATAAAAATGCTTAAGTAGAGTTTTGCTTGGGTTGGAAATTAGTTACGATCAAAATTAATAATATGCAACTTGTCAAGTTTTGATTAGACACCTAATTTGGTGAACGTGGATCAAACACGTGACCTTCAGATCTTCAGTACGCTCTCCCAACTAAGCTATAATTTTATACAAAATTAATAATATATAATTTTATTATCAAAGTTTAAATTATAAAGAAGCATCCACCTTTGAATAGTCAAGTCAGGTTAGGGCCCGGCACCAAATTTGGTGAACGTGGATTGAACATGTGACACCTTCAAATCTTCAGTCTAATGCTCTCCCAAATTAGTTATTCCCACTATTTATTATACTAAAAATGCATAAGAAAAATACTTACAATTTTTAGACCAATAAGTTTAGTTAAACTTAGGTTGGTAATTGGTCACATTTTTTATTAAAGTAAAAAAATGTGGTAAATGTGGATCAAACACGTATGATGTTCTGATTTGCAGTCTGACCTCTTTCAACTGAACTATTTTCGTTAATTATTTAAAAAAAATTACACAATAAATATTTACAATTTCTAGACCAATGGTGAATGATCAAACACGTGACCTTCCGATCTTCAGTCCAACGCTCTTTAAATTGAGCTATCACTATTACTTGTTAAAATAAAAATGCATAATGAAAATATTTACCATTTTTAGACACTGGAACTCCATGCAGTCTTACAATTCACGTACAAGTGTGCCTAGTTAGGAAGTGTGTCGACTTAGTTAGTTTGTCGACGATTATCCAGATTACTGTATATCGTTTCAATGCCCTAGGTAGACCTACGATGAAGTCCATAGCTATGTTCTCGAAGTTCCATTCTGACACACTGAAAGATTGCAATAATCTTGCTGTAACCCCCTATTTTTCTTGTCAAAATGAGAGACGTCACCACATGCATGCCTTTAATAACATATGCAGAAATTTAAAATAAAACATTTTTAAATCAGAGTCATGGACTTTCACGTTTAATTTAAAATAGGAAAATAAAAATAACATAGTATTTGAATACAAAAATGAAAATTCACCTATCAACTATTAATTGAAAATCAATGCATAATTATTTGTACATACATGTATGAATAAATACATTTGTTGAAGGGTCACTGGTAGATACATGTATGAATAGATACATGTGTTGAAGAGTCACTTGTACACGTATAAGTACATATATGAATAGATACATGTAGATTCATTAGTTCATAATTAATTAGGTACATGACTTTTGGATAACGAATGGTATTGGGGAATGTCCCAAATTACCTCTATATATATATATTGGCATTGGTGGTGTACCTAATTAATTATGAACTTATGAACTAATGAACCTATATGTATCTATTCATTCATGTACTTATACATGTATCTATACATGTACAAGTGACCCTTCAACACATGTATCTATTCATACATATATCTACAAGTGACCCTTCAACACATGTATCTATTCATACATGTATCTATAAGTGACCCTTAACACCCTCCCTTAAACTAAATTATGCAGAGATCAGTTTAGGATTTCATTCCATCTTCTTGAACTATACCTTGGATTCTGCAAATCCCTATCTTTCTTCTAAGTTTCTCGAACAATAGTTGTTTCAAGGGCTTTGTGAATAGGTCTGTGATTTGTTCATCAATTTAGCAAAAATTGAGTTTAATAATACCTTCTTTACACAAATCACGCAAGAAATGAAATCGAATATCGATGTGCTTACTCCTTCCGTGCAACACATAATTTTTAGACACCTTAATAGTTGACATATTATCACAATATATAACTGTCGTACTTGGTTGCTTCTGATTAAGAATTTCAAGCATCTTTCTTAATCAAATTGCTTGGCACGAGCATGCTGCTGCTGCCACAAACTCTGCTTATGTAGTTGAAATGTTACAATAGGTTGCTTCTTTGAAAACCAGTAAATAGCTCCTGAACTCATCATGAAAATACTTCCTGAAGTACTTTTACGATCACATATATCACCTGCATAGTTGCTATCTGTATAGCCAACCATCTTCGAATCATCTCCTTTCTTGTAGAATACCCCCAAATAAAAAGTTCCTCTCACATAATGAAGTATTCTTCTTGCTGCATTGAGATGTTTTTCCGTTGGATGCTCCATGTAGTGACTTATCATACTAACCGCATACATGATGTTTGGTCTTGTTGAAGTTAAGTACATCAAACTTCCCACAATTTGCTTGAAGTACCTATTATCAACCTCTCGCCCTTCAATATCATTGTGTAACTTCAAACCCAATCATGATGGAGTTCTAAATATGCACTCATCCATTTTAAATCTTTCAAGTAACTTTTGAGCATATTTCTTTTGACAGATAAAGTTACCAACGGCAGTTTGAGTAATTTCTCCTCCAAGAAAATATCTCATCAAACCAAGATCTGCCATTTCAAATTCCTTCATCATGCTCTTCTTAAAAAGTTCAAACATTTCTTCATTATTGCCGGTAAATATTAAATCATCAACACATAAGCAAATAATGAGAATGTTACCTCCCTTTTCAGTTTTCACATACAACGTATGTTCATATGGGCATTTAGTGAATCCCATCTTTTCAAAATGAGAATCAATGCGACTGTACCATGCTCTCGGAGCTTGCTTCAAACCATACAAAGCTTTCTTCAACCTATACACTTTTTCCTCTTTACCTTTTTGTACAAAACCTTCTGGTTGCTCCACATATACTTCTTCCTGAAGGTCTCCAGGTAAGAAGGTCGATTTCACATCAAGTTGATAAATAGACCATGTTTTCTATGCTGCAATAGAAATTATAAGCCTTATAGTATCTTGACGTGCTACTGGTGTAAATACCTCATTTAATCAACTCCATACTTCTGCTTGTATCCTTTTGCAACTAGTCATGCCTTGTACTTATCCACCTCACCACGCTCATTCAATTGGATTTTGAATACCCATTTTACTCCAATTGTTTTATGCCCTTTAGGAAGATCAATGAGCTTCTTCATAAACAATTGGATTTGATTTGAAAACTCATTTTCTCCCAAGTCTTATTCTACTCTATGGATTTAATTTCACTGTCCATGACTTCTCTCCATTTCTTCTCCTTTACAGCTTCTTCATAGACAATTGGATCACTACCCATAAAGAATGCAAAATAAGTACTATCACTTGAGTCATAGTCCATCTCATAATCAATCATCCAAGTTGGTCTCCTTCTTGTTCTTCGATTTCTTTGATTGTGATCATGATCTTCTTCTTCTACTGGATCTTCTTGTTGAGCTTGTGATGAGCTCTCTCCAAGCACGTAGTGAGGCTGAATAGGGGCTTAGTTTGTTCTTCTTCAAGATCTACAGGAATCTGCTGATTCACAGTGATCTTTTCTTCCCATGTCCCAGTCTTCTTTTCGTCAAAGATTACATCGCGGCTTACCACCACCTTCTTTGTCAAAGGATCATAGAGCTTGTACGCCATAGAAGTCTCGCTTACTCTAGGGAACACACATTTCAAACTCTTGTCCTCAAGTTTCTTCCTTTTCTCATCAGGAACGTGTCCATATGCTATGCACCCAAAGATTCTAAAGTGGTCTACCGCAGGCTTCCTTCTACTCCCTGCTTCTTGTGGAGTCACATCTCTCACAGAGAAAGTAGGGCTTCAGTTGTGAATGTGAATGAACCACACAACAACTTCTAGCCAGAATTCCTTCAGAGCTTCTCATTTATTTAGCAAACTTTGAACCATGTTGAGAAAGATTCTATTCTTCCTTTCGGCCACACCATTTTGTTGTGGTGTATATGCTGTTGTCAACTGCCTCTTTATGCCCTTCTCTTCACAAAAATTTCGTAACCTCGTTAGAGCAAAACTCTCCACCTCTGTCAGTTCTTAAAGCTTTAACTCTTCTTCCAGTTTATGTCTTCATCATAACACAAAAATTCTTGAAGCAATCAAAGGCTTCTAATTTGGCGTGCAAGAAATAAGTCCATGTTTTTCTACTAAAATCATCAATGAGAGTCATGAAATATTTCTTGTTACCATATGATGCAAGAGAGATCGGACCACATATGTCTGAATGCACAAATTCCAAAATTGTTTGAGCTCTTCTTGATTTTTCGGAAGGAAATGAATCTCTTTCATGCTTGCTACCACACAACTCTCACAAATTTCTGTTGGAGGAGTGATGTTTTGGCAACCTAGCCATCATCTTGTTTGAAGAAAACTTCTTTAACCCTTTAAAGTGTAGATGACCATACCTAAAATGCCAAAGCCAGTTGGTATCTTCTTTCTTCACCATCAAACTTCTAGCAACGATATTTAACGTCAACGGATATAACCGATTGGTGGTCATCTTCATCTTAGCAATCGATCGTCTTTTGGAGTCATAAATCTCACATTCATTATTTTGGAATGTGATTACATACCACTTTTCTTGCAATTGACCGATACTAAGCAAGTTGGCCTATAGATCAGGAATGTAAAACACATTAGAAATACAAACAGTAGTACGAAAATTTACATCCAGAGTTGAGAAGAATTCCTTACAACCTATCATATGGTTGCTACATCTAGAGTCTA